ACGCTGCTGTAATAACATCCATCCATCCATTCATTTTCTGAACACGCTTCTTCCTTTTCAGGTCATGTGGGTCACTGGTGCCCATATCCAGCAGTCACAGTGCGAGGGGCGGGGTACACCCCGGACAGGTCGCAAGTCCATCACAGGGCCACAGGGCTGTAACAACAATCTTTAGCAATTATGCAGCGGCTTTGATTTATTTGTTTTTCATCAAATTCTGTTATTGTGGCTGAAGAGACACCGATGTCCAGCTGGGAAATAAAAGACCCTCACTGAGTGAGTGCGGTGACTCACAGTCGGACTTCATTAACCCACATCCTGTTGTGTGCAGGTCACACACAAATTTAGCTTCATATACAATAAATTTAAGTTTCACAGTCATCACTCTTCTTTGTCAACCTCAACAAACAATGGCTGTTTCATAGCAGCGGCTTCAGAATAAACTGATTGCCAAAAAAAGGAAAGAATAAAAAAGTTGTTGCCGAGGCTTTGGGGGTATTAACCTTCATCAGTCAAGCTGATCTTAATGACTCTGCTGTGCAGCCACCTGGAGGGTCAGGTGGGCTCTGAAATCCTGCGTTGTCCCTCTGGCAGTGTGATAAAAGCACAGCATTATTCTGATGTATGCTGGTGGGTTAGGCTAAAATAGAGCTGCATGCAGGAGATGAAGTGGGAGGCAGAATTTAGAAGAACTGAGTCAATGCCTAACAGCTGCAAAAGCTTTTTGGAAGAATAATAGAGCAATTATCTCTCTTTTTTTCACCCTTTCCACTGGAAGAAAGCAACAAGAGGACATCTATGTCTCTGCTGCCCTGTCCACCAACTTCTGTGTCAGAAAGGAATACTGCATGGTAAATAAGCCATGTTTTGTGCAAAAGTTTCCACATTTAGTTGGACACAATATTTAAGATTTACATGGCTACAATCTGTGAACTGGAAATTTTAGTACAGGGAATCCCCCATATATTTCCCAATCTTCTACACCTAAATAATGCATGAACTGTTACTTTAACAGCGAACAGCAACAAAACATTGACTGTATTATTTTGCAATCTACCAGAATACAAGCTTTGATGTTTGAAATGTTTTGTTTTAGGTTGCATTGCTGAGGCATTTTCCTTTCTGACGGGGGTGTCCAATCCTGGTCCTCGAGGGCTGCTACCCTACATGTTTTAGAGGTTTCTCTGCTCCAGCACACCTGATTTGAATGGGTGATCACTGGAGGTTTCTTCAGAACTTGAGGAGATAATTCAATCACTGAATCAGCTGTGCTGGATCAAGGAAACAAGTAAAACATACAGGATAGTGGCCCTTGCGGACCAGGATTGGACACCCCTGTGGTAAACATTAAGTTTTAACACCTGCTTCTTAAGGCTTGGTCTGCCCCAATAGGTTCGCCATTTTGTCCTCAAAAGATTAGAGTGTAAGATACCTGCTCTTCTTGAAGTATTCCAAAATGTCAACTAAGCTAACAACTTAGTAAATGTGTCTTGCTACTATGGTTATGGGGCATTCAGTGGTCTCTCAGCAGGTGTGCCCAAGGGTATGTATTAGGAATCCCTGAATTTTGAATAAAGGTGCGTCATTTCTTACTGGTGACCCAGCATTTTAGCCTGAATCTCAATTTGATTAATATTTCTCATGTTAGATTCAATATGTTCAAATCAACAATGTCCAGTTTTGAATTGAGAACACTCCCTGGATAAACAAAGAAAAATATTCTACAACAGAACACAAGTCCAGTTTTTTTTTTTTTTTTTTTTTACTTTTCGGACCATCCACTTCATTGTGCCATAGAAACTCATCACACAGTACAATACAAAATAATAAAAAAATACCATAATACATTACTGCCTTGGTCAATACAGCAGGCTAATCAAGCTAATGCTAACATCAGTAGATTATTTTAATTGCCTTTAAATCAAATGCCTTTAATTATCTAAACATCTTTAGTGTAAACTGTTTTCATCTTTGTTTGAGCTGTGTAGCTTAAAAATGCTAGAAAAATGCGAACTGATCTTATGTTTAACTCTAAATATAAACCATGTTCAAGATTTGTTGTTAATCACAATGTAAAGGTACGTCTATCATTACAGGTGTTCCTCATGTTTGGATAAAAGATGTAACAAAAACTTGTAACAAATCTTTGTAAATGCCTTTTATTTTTGGAGACACATGATGCTAATTATATATTGTAAGCCAAAACTAGGAAAAAAAATCAGAGTCACTTCACATTCAAGCATGTATTTCAATTTCAATATCTTGCACAGGAGTCACATAATTATGACGCGCTGCACCTAAGTAGAGTTCAAAATGCAAAAACACCCAGCTGTCCCCCTTCCCTTCAGCCTAACGACCACAATGTATACAGTGAATGAGGTAACCTTTTGATCACAGCTTTGGTAGTAATTCAAAGTAAAGAAAAAAGGCCCACTGACCTCTGTTCAGTGTCTGGATGATATTTAAGTCTCAGCTAGGACTTGGGTGTAGACCAACAGAGGAACTTGTTGGTCTACACCCAGCTGTTTTCTAGAAACCAGTTTCACAATAATAACTATATTATTTATCGTTTTTATCACTGTTTTACTAAGAAATATTACAATAAAGTCTCAGTTCAGACTGTTTTCATTTAGAGCCTGTATTTTGTTGAGAACATCCTGTACGCATGTTCTTTAATCTTGACTGGAGTCCCCAACATTGTTTTAGAGAAGAAGATGCATAAAAAATCAATTAGACAAGAAACAATAAAGTTTTTTTTTCTTCTTTGTAAGATCTCATGTACTGCCTCATAAATTTGTACATAAAAATAATTGTTCAGAACCAAATTGCAATCCCCCCTGGAGCTGCCTTTTAAATCAGTGTCATAACTGCTAAAGCAACAAAAGTTTACCATTTGATTTTTTTAATACCTATTGTTTTGTTTTTACTTAAATGAAACTTCATTTCTGAAAACTGGCTCATTGGTCTGGAAAAGTTAAATCTTTGGGGCCCTGGGGGACTTCTGAAATGTGGATCAGCAGCTGAGTAATGACAGAAATATTGGACGAGAGGCTGGAACTAATCTGCAGAGGAGCCAACGCCCAGAGCGAGAAACTTTTCGGTGATATATATCATATAGTGTGTGCAAACACTGCTAATACACCTCTGGAGGGCTTTAAAAATGTTTAAAATAATACTGCTGTTTAAGGCTTTGTTTTGGTCAGAATTTGGTATGAGTTGTCAAACTGGAGTTGTTTGGTTTTGAGTTGCCTTGAAATTTTTTTAAGTGGTAAAACATCACTACATCGCTAACATCAGCGGTTCCAAATACAGAGCCAACAACTGCAGGGAGGCACTGTCTCTACACAGATGTCCAAATTATTTTTGCACGAAGAAAACCACAACACACTGATTTAAAAATCAAGTCTTTTAAATTAAAACATTAAGTACAAGATCTTTACAAGGACTTCAACAAGTGTCTTGGGGTCCTGAATCAAACATCTAATACAACTGAACGTTTGCACAAATTGGACCACAGAGAACTGCAAAACCAAAACTTCACCACAGATGAAAAAAGCTTCTTGTCTCAGTTTGTGCATCTTCATACTATCATTGATTTATGTCCAGTTTTACCCAGCGTATAAGCACAAATCAAACTAATTCCTACTACTACGTTTATTTTCTGACTAAATTTTTTAAGACCTACATTTGAACTGCAGTCCGTTTTAAGCTAAATAAAGGCAGATTATGAAATAGGTGACTGAAACATGAGCCAGAGTCATACAAAACTTCAATAACTCATTTAACAAAAAGTTTACCCAACCTTAATGTTGCTGTACAATTAGAACTTGCGTACTTTGGGATTGTTGGTTTTGTGCCCATGTGTGTTCCTTTCCTGTTTTCTAACCCCAAATCCCCAAACTGCCATCTTCTTACTCCAAACCACCAATCAGCCTGCTTCTTTAACTAAATACATTTTCTCAAACCATCAATTTATACCTACTGATACTCTGAATCAGAATGCATTTTTTTTAACTTGAATTAGTTTCACGACTGAGGTGTGAGTACCTATTAGTGGTGTCCAACCCTGGTCCTCGACGACCACTATCCTGCATGTTTTATATTACTTTCTGCTTTGATACAATTGAGCAAACACTCAATTTCCCAAGTTTTGAATTAAAATTTGGTGGAGTTGTAGTCGCGTCATTCTCAACACATTTTCTGAGCACTGAAAGGCCACACAAGTTTTCATTGTCTGGCGTGTTATTTTCAAGATTTGACCAATCAGGTTCAAACTTTATTATTTTCAAGATGGAATTATCTTAATTTAAAACTCTTGTGTGAAAGTAGAAAGGAGGCGGTACGCATTCCTTTAATGCTAGGCCTAAGTGGAAAAAAAAAATCAAATCAGCAGTTTGGAATGACCTAGTTTCTCAAGCTTAACAGCTTTGTCTAAATTATGTAATTGTTGCTTGATTATCTGAAACATGCTATCTAGGACAATGATCATACTTTTCTGTTTAGTTTAAGGCAGTTGTATTTTTAACCCTAAATGTCTGAGACGATGTCCTGTAAACATGACACTTTTTAAAATTTACTGAAAGTCGCAGAACTAAATAGAGTGGTACAGTAGAATGTCATCTGCATAATCGCAAAACTCCCACTCCCACATGAACTTATTTTCTAATTGATGACCACAGATTTTGTTCTTAAAGGCGTAAAAAAAGCTCAAATGAATTACATGCAATAATTTTGCTTCCTTTGCAAATGAAAATTGTTTAAAGATGTTGCAGATTGTGTAAGTTAATATAAAACAAACTAGAAATCCACTGTCCTAAAAATAGTTTATTGGTGCATATTTGAGCAATGGAGACTTTTAGAATTCCAGCTCCTAACCTTGTTCGCAGAAATCTCCTGTGTAACTGGGCAGGCAGAGACAGGTGAAGGAGTTGACCCCATCCTGACAGGTGGCTCCATTGAGGCACGGATTAGAGTGGCACTCGTCAACATCTGCAGACACACCACATGCCATTATTATTACACACCGCCAGTCTGTCAGCGCAGGGGTCAGGAGATTAGCTCTGTGTGTTTGTGTACCTGTTTCACAGTGTTGTCCAGTAAATCCAGGTGCACAAACGCAGATGCTCTGGGTTTCTTTTTTGTAGCACGAGCCTCCGTTCTGGCACACATTCACCGCGCAAGAAAGGAGATCTGCACACAAAGGGAAGATGGAAAACTTAGCAGTGTTGAGTTTTAGTGCATCTGAATATGTCGTAACACCAACTTAGCCCAACAGGTTAGCATAAAAAAGATATGTTGTGCTCAAATTTCAATCAGTCAAGTGCTTGTACCTTTGACATCCACAGAGCTGTCCTCCACGGAAGGAACTAAACCAGTGCCTGTCTCTGTCTGTCCTGTAGCTCCAGTGTCAACTGGGGTCTTTGGATGCGACTCCAAAAAACCAGGCTTGCTTATTTCATGATAGTCTAATTCATCCTCTGGTAAAGGAGAGGCTGAAGGATCAGGACTCAGAGCCCACTGAGGGACAGATTGGGAACTCCGGTCAAAAGTGTAAAGGAAGGAAGAGCTTGAAAGTGTTGGCAAATCCACTCGTGTGGGGATTATGATGGGCATGCTGATTTTGGAGGTGGTGTCCTGTATTTGAGATGTGACTTGGTCTTTAGGAGTTGGTAAAACACCGACGCCAACCTCTACAGGCAGGTCAACCAGACCATCTTTTCTCTCAGAGTCTTTCTCCTCTTCAGTTGGCTGCTCTGCACCTGAGCCTGTCTCCATAACTCCATGGACCTCCTGTCCCACTATAGCCTCCTCTATTATTTTGGTATCTTCTGCAGATTGAGGTGTCTGGGTGGGAACAGGGGAGTGGTGGGGTGGTAGTGGGGTAGTTGTTCTATCTTTATCTGGTTGATAAACAAATTGCCCTGAGGCCTCACTGTCTCCAGAAGCAGACCCTTCAACATCTCGCACATGTCCCTGGATAGTAGTTATCTGGTACAATGTGTCTGGGATAAAAGTTGAAGGTTCTGTCCCTCCAACCTCTGTCTCGTCAGTCATCACACCCAACAAACTGGCAGCAGGGGTTGGAAGTGCACCATCTGCAGAACCCTCCCACGGAGTGCCAGCCCTCATGACTCCATGTGTGGAGGTGGCACCAGGAAGGACTGTATCTGACAGTGTGGTAGTTGAGAACTTAGGTGAAAATGTGGTGGTGGCCGCATCATCTTTTACTTGAGTTGTAAGTCCTTGCAAGTCTGTTGGGACATCTTCACTGGTCTCTGTATGTATATCCTTAGTGTAGTAAAATGGTTCAATGCTTGGGTCCCCTTCTCTCCCAGGAATCTTCTCCTCTGGCACCAGGATAGGTATGGCAGTCTCAAACTGATCCCTTCGAGCCTCCTCTGGAGAGTCTGGCTTTAACGTTGCCTGTATGGATCAGAACATATAAACACGTTTACAGCAAAGAATGAGTAGACCCGTCCTCTACAATTTGATCGTTCTTAAGGTTACTCTACTTTTGTAAATTCAAGTATTTTCATTTTTTCACCCATCCCTTAAAAATATTCATGTTTACTATTTATTTTGAAAATGCAACCATTTCTAAATGCTGTCGTTTCAAATCAAACCATTAAAACACATGATTGTTGAAATTACTGCCAGAGATGACAAACCCAGGGCAAATTTTTGCCCCCAAGTTCTTAAGTTACCAAGTGCTTGAGTCATCAAGTTTTGTAGTTCTTTAAAAGTATTTTTTTATTAATGAGGCTAGTGTGTTTCAGAGCTGAAAAATAAGCTGCTTTGCATTCATGTTCTTTTGTTTCAGTGAATTCAGACTTCTAAAGAAATCTAAACATGGATTTTGAAGGGATGTTTACTTGATAGTGTGAGCTCTCCGAAAAAACATTTGACTTTACACATAATCTTTATGTATGTCATGATTTTTTAACAAGTGGTAAGGAAAAGCAATAGAAATTAGAGTGTGGTTTAACACTCATCTTTACCTTGCGGCTGTCGTCTGCAAAGCTGATTATTCCCTGCAAAAGGTGGTCAGACCCTACACTCCCGGTGTCAGTAGTGTTGAAGTGCAAAGGCTTGGAGAGATCTACAGGCTTGCTCAGCAGTTTTAGGATATCGTCCACTGGAGACAGATAAGACACACAAGTTTATAAAAAATAAATTAATAAACTGAAATAAAAAACAAAACCAATGGAATGGTCACTGAGAGAGCTAGGCAAGATCAATGGTTACCATCTTGCTAGGTGCTATGCCTATCACTATGTACTCTTTACATGTCGTAGTCATTCTTTGTCAACACATTGTGCATGCTTTATACTGTGTCATCAGTCCAAAGATGCATAGCGACACCCATGTTTTACATAAATAAGTATACATCATTCATACGGTGAAACCAGGAGAAGAATGTATGCAGAAATGAGACTACTATCTACTACTATACTTTAGCAGTGGCTAAACACCAACTTGGTGCACTACTGTCTGCACTATCAACCGTATATTAAAAGTTTTATTTCCAGTGAATGGTCCGTACTCATATATTAAACATTAAAGCTAAAACAAATAACAAAATGAACTTTTAAAAGCTGTCACTTCATACCAGTGAAGTTGATTTTCAGTTTGATGACAGAATTAGCAACTGAGGTAATCTTTCTAGCTAGATTTCCTTAAGACCTTTGCTATCAGTGCCTGTTATTATTGGTCTAGCTTATACACCAAATCACTGTCATTTAGTAAATACTGTATTTCTCACCCATAAAACCGGTAATGCACAATTATTTTTGATTTATTTACAACTCCTTTGACAGTCTATACAACAGGCAAGACAGAAAAAAACCAAAGGTCACATTTTCAATGATTTCTGAGCTTATATGGCATGATGCTCACCTATAAAATGAAATGAAATACCATGTTCTTTGAGGAGCAGATTCCATTATTATAACAAATACTGGCAAAACTTTGGGTTTCTTGGTTGTGCTCAGATTTTATCTTCAGAAATCCATGGTCTGCAGCTACACTGGCAGTGTTTAAAGATCAAAAACCAAGATGTACAAATTCTTCCCTTGTTTGCATGCAGGGTGCTGTGGTTGACATTTTAGTATATTTCTATTTCAATGAGAAATACAAGTAATTCATTAAACCAGAAGAAGTTTATGGGCATGTTGTGTAACAGTGGCTCCCCGTGAATTAGTCTAATGACAAAAATAAACTGGAGGAAGAAGTCAAAGGCACAGTCTGACAAATGTCACTCAGCCTCCAGGTTCTCAAGAGTCAAATAGGGTTGAAATATATTTTAAAAAGTTTAGTTTATTAGGTATGACAGAGTGTCAGGGCCACACAATGAGATTTTTTATTAGTTTTTTTTTTTTTGTACGAGAATAAATTCATATTGTTACAACATTAATGTTGTAACATTACGAGAATAAAGTCATATGAATAAAGTCATAATATTAGGTGAATAAAGTTGTAGTATTACAATATTAAAGTCATAATATTGCGAGAACCTTTACAGAAAAAGCAGTCTTGAAATGGGGAATGTTGAGCAACTTATTTGTGTCAGCTAAAAGAAATACTTACACATTAGCATCCAATTGTCAGTAGCAGGATTGTAACTAATGGCTGCATTGACAGATTTAGTCATCACATAATTTGGATGGAAGCATATCACACTAAAAGTGACACAAAAGTCATCGCGGACTTCTTCATGAACATACGGCTGTCCACAGCATGTGTGAGGAAAATGATGAGGAAGTGAGTAAAAAGTCAGGAATGGAAAATGGACATGTCATGTAAAAATATGACTTTTTTATTGTAATATCATGACTTTATTCTCATTTGATCTTGTAATATATAACGACTGTAATCTCGTAATTAAAAAATAATAATCTTGTTGTGTGGCCCTGATACGCCATCGTAATTAGATAACTTACACTTAGCCTGACTTTGAGTTTGAAGATATATTTTTAAGACTCATCATCAGTAGTTATTCACATCATTGGTTGGCATTATGATCACCTTCCTCCAATGAAGGCCTAATCAAGGCTGATCAGGCCTCAGTGCATGTTCCATATTTAGATTTGTTTAAATTTAATCATTTAAAGACTTAAACTTTACTTCTTAACACTTTACCAGTAAGAATAATGAGACAGTTCGTCTACTTTAATTCAACTCGAGGAGGAGGTTTTTCAGTTTGAATTGAGTTCTTCAGCCCTGTAGTTCTGCTGCCCAAGTAAAGGATGTGAGTTTTTGTTCCACAGCAGCTCATTTCTGACTTTGATTAAAAGGAGCCAGAGAGCGTATTTGGATGGTAAACAGTTTGGGGGCCTTTGTTATGATTAAGGCCGGCCACTGCCAGCGGCGGCTCTGAAACAATGCACGCTTGTGTCTCCTCATTAAGACTTTTATGGTGCATATGGGAACTTTGTTGTGGGAAGTTGAGCAAAAAAACGTGCAACGAGAAAAACTGAGACCTGAGGATGAACAGAGAAATATACAGATAAGTGCCAGAATTACACACAAAAACAGCCGTTTTTCTGAATTTAGGAGACGTCACACAACAGGTAAAAGTTTCCGTCATCACACTCAAACCTTAATTCCTCAAGCTTTCTGTGAGAAGTCAATTTGAGAGCTGATGTAGCAAGGCATTTAATTGCTCAACACCCTGCAGCTGAAGGAAAATACACATTAACAATGTGATTTGTCAAAACAGAGAGGAATGTGGGATTTATTCACTTCTTTTGTTGTTGGCTGTTTTATGCTGTTTTTAGATATTAAACACACTTAAGCTTCTTTCCATTGGTCAGACTTTAAAATCTCAGTATAAATTAGTGGAAACTATAGTTAATTTTATGGAAGCCAACAGAGGACATACTTAGACATTTCCTAACAACACAATTATCTCTACATAATGAAGCTTGTTTTTCTTAAGATAATATAGCTATTTATTCTGAAAACAAATACAGCAATTTTTCACATAAACATACAAGAACAAAACACAGACTTTGAACCTAGAACAAAACAACTGCTACCTGGTGGCTAGCTGCAATCTACATGTTAAGACCATGTAACTAAAGGGATACTTCCTTGCGTAAAAAAAAAACCTTGGATCATTTTTTTGTATCTCTTCAAAAACATAACTTTACAACTTCATCTAATTTTTATAAACTTAGATTGCTCTGATTATTTGTCACCAATAGTCTGATCAAACACCTTCCACTGTTTTACGACAGCTTTAAAAAAAAGCATAAAATTTTGTTTTGTTGCAACATGTAAAATGTTGCCTAAATTTTAAGCGATGACTTGTGTTTTATTGTTTAACTAAATGCATTCTGATGTCTTACTAACTTCAGCAACATGTTAATATTCAGATAATAAAAAGCAGTACTGGGGCGGAAACTGAGACAAAAACAAAAAAAGGAAACATTCCAAGTCCATAATTGGCAGGTGCATGTCCTATCACCTTCATCCCCTTCCATTTCCACTGCTTAAATTACTTGTTTTTGGGGGAAGTACTGTTGAATTATGTTTCCTGCTGGTGCCGCTCAGTGAGCAGGAAAGTGACAGTAAAGGGATGCCCAAAGCTTTAAAATGAGCACAAAGGCGTGTGACCAAGTGTCAGTATGTGATGACTGAGCAGTGAGACTTTATTGGGGAAAAGGACTGGCTACGAAACACTAATAAAACTGTACTGTGTGAAATTTCTGAAGGTCAGAACACACCTGCATGAATACATGCCAAAACAACGGCCTGCTTTATTTTTGGTAAGAATCCCCCCAGAACCGTGACGGCTGGCCGTGCGTTGAGACGACAAGAGACGTGTCATCACTGTCCTATCCTTAGTGTCAAGGAGTTCTATGTTACCATACTTTATTTTTGTCATTTATTTATCAAATGCTGGTGAATAATGAGTAATTATTTCACAACCTTGCCCATATTAGATATTAATGGGACTAAACTTCAACAGTTGAGGAAAAAATGGGGGACATCATATTTTAGTGTTTTCTATGATCCTCTGAAAGTTTTGATTATTTCATTGCAAAAACAGAATATAAAGTTTTATGTACTACCATAGGGCTAATCATATTATCGAACCAGCATTTTGTATGCAGATGTACAAGAAAAAACCAAAGAAGGGAAGGGAAAGAGTCCATTGTTTTGAGGCCTTGCTGGTCTGTTTGTACAGTATGTAGCCACAAGACTGCCAGCATAGAAATGACCAACTTCAATATTTCCACATCTGGTTCTGTAGATCTCCAGTCTGAGTGCGTTTGTGTGTTTCAGGCTTTCAAGATGCAATCACAAAGGTCACTAATGCTTTGTCGTTTCCGACTCAAATAACAAACAAAACCAAATCAGCTGCATGAGATTACTGTAAAGTCCCCGACAGCACATTCTAAAAGCACTCAAAAACAAACGCGCTTGATGACAGACCTAAACAGTGGTGGCCACACAAAAAACGTAGGAGTCTATTTAACACCTTGTGTAGATAGGAATATTAGCAGAAGCTGCGGTTCACTAAAGCTAAGAGAAGAGAATATAAAAATAAGAAATATAAATATATAAGGAATCTTAGAAGGACTGGCCTGGACACAGTTGGAGATTCAGTTGCACAGCGTTAAGTCTGTACTGCTGTTTGCAATCTTTATAACAATCCAACACAGAAGGTAGCCAGTAGCATCAGCTTTTAGATCAGCATCATGCTTTTTTTGGCTACATGTGCATTACAAAATGAACTTTGGTGACAAAAATTCTGCCAAGTTTGCACCTCTCATCCACACGTAACAAATTTTAAGGTGATTTTTAAAGTGAAAATGAATACTTTGGTGGTTTTGGGTGGTCTATGTAGACTCAAGAAGCTGAGCTTTTTAGAAATAATGTAGCTAGAAGCCTGTTTACACATGCCCATCTTTACATTGAGCCCTAGAAACCAAAACAACAATGCAGTATTTTTACAGTTTTTCTGTCTGTTTGTTTATGCGTCTGTCTTACTTATCCTAATCAAATCCCTGTAAGCATGTTGTTAATGTAAATGTTTTCATAAACCTAGACGCAGGTCATGGGAATTTCAGAACCGAAATAAAGTTGTTTCCTGTCAGACTATACAGTGAATCCAGCAAGACTATGAAATATTAATCAACAGAAACCAAACATGCTGAGACTATTCCCACTTTCATTTTAGTCAGAATTGTACACAAAGTGCTTTAGCACTGTTAAGACCAACAATTAACAGGTCATTCCCTGAAGGAAAGTTCCTGTCACTGACTTGACTCACCTGACTCGTTTGCTTTCGGCACACCGACTAATATGACCTGGATAGGTTGTCCGGTTGATGACTCTTCTCCCAGAAGAAGGGATAAAGGCTTGTCCAAGTGGATCATAGGAGGGGCTCCGTCTTTGAATACGAGTTGAGTTTCATTCACCACTTCCATGGCGGTGGATGGGAGGCCTGTATCTGGTAGGGCAATCTTTGGGGAGGATGAAGGGCTCATAGTTGCTTGCTCTTCTTTTACAGGTGCTCCTGAGGTGAAGTTTTCCATATCCAGGTGTAGAGGTTCTGAGTGGATTTTTGGTATAGTATATGGCTCTAATGGGGGGGAAATATCCTCTGTATGTGGCACAGACTCTACTAAGGGTCTATGATGGTCTAAATAATCATAGTCACCAGCAAAGGGTGTGGTGAGGTCTGCGTGATCCGGTGTTCTGGTTTGAACTTCAGTTGTTTTAGGTTGGAAAGGTGTTGTAGTGTCTGTGGGGATGTAAAGTCTCATCGGTTGGAAGGGTGTTGTAGTGTCTGTGGGGATGTTAAGTCTCATCGGTGGATTTGTCTGTGCACTAATGGTCAGTTCTGGCAGTTTAGCTGTAAGACAAAAGAGTACTGAATAAACACTTGAGTGGTTGAAAGGCAAATCATCAAACACTGGATTCTCTGCTTAGGTTTGATACAAACCGCTGGATAAAGGACAAATGTACTGTACATGAGTTTTAATTGATTCGATTTTTAAGAATGACTACAGGATTTTGACAAATATTTTTCTTGTTTACTGATCAAACTGGAAAGAAAGTTGATCTGGTCTACTTTGGAAAATATTCTGTAATTTGGCTTTAGCATTCAAAGCTAATCTTCTGCTCCTCACAAAAAACAAAAAACAAACAAAAAAAAAACCACTCTGGTCAAGTTAACAGTGAAATCAATGGAAATGACGTCTACAAAACGAATTAGCATTTTCATGAGTCATTCAAAAGAAAACAGTCCTATCTGAAAAGTGCTAATCTTGCAGCTGTCACTAGCCTCCAGCGGACTATAAAAGGTAATGTAGCAGCTTGGACTTTTGGTAAGATGAAGTCAACTGTGATGGATGAAATCATTTTAGGAATGCAGACTGCTGTCAAAAGAATAACAGCAGTGACTCATTTTGGCTCCTAATAGCTTGCTACTTTAACCATGTTTTTTTTTATTACCAAGGAACTGTTAAGGCTGAATATCTCCTAACACACTATTTATATGTTTTAAACAGTTTGAAACATTATTTTTATTTTTTTACAATGACTCTACATAACGTTATTTGTAGTTCTTAATAATTTGCAAAAGTGTCTTAGGAACAGGTCATGACAACACTATAATACAATGGTTCCCAAACCTTTTAGGTTTTAACCTACAAAGTTAAAGCTGCCCTTATGACCCTGACTATTGCTGGCTCAAGTATGCAAACAATGCTAACAAACCATTTAGCAAAGTGCCTCATTAAATATTATCATCTGTGACATGAACTCATAACTAAGGCCCTTTTGTAATTGCTAATTAACCAAGTTAGTCAGCAGCAGGAATGTAAAATTGTACTTGTGAACAGGATGTTAATTTTTTGATTTGGTTTTAGTCAGGAAACGTCTCACTCACTTACATAAAGAGCAAGACTTAAATATTGTTCAAATCTTTGCTGCTTCATCTTCCAGTTTCCAGTCCTCTCTCTAACATCGATGATAGCAACCCAATGTGTTTTCCAATAAATGTATATTCAATTTTGGAAAAATACAAAATAAATATTTAAAAAGTTTAAATAAAAAGCACAAACCAATACAGTCCATGCCACCTTCTTAATTATTAGTGTGATAACTGTTGAAAAAATAGCCTTTTTAACCAAATTTATTTTTTTCTATCTCAACAACTATTTTATAGAATATGACCACCCTATACTGTATGACCTAAAATAATAAAGATATCTTAAAAAATGAAGAAAAATGAACAGCAGTGTAGGCTTTATGCAGGAAGCCAGTACATTATTTCTACATTGGGTTATTAGTACTTACAGTACATCGACTGCATGTTGAGCCCAGCCCAAATATGATGTCATGTGTTCTGTGAGCAGCAGACATCTGGCTAAACTGGGATCTTTCACTTCACTTTTACATTAACCTCTGCAGCTCTGCCACCTCACTGAAAGCTTGGCACCGATCCACGACCTTCAGAAAGTACCTCTGCTCTGCCAGACTGTTTGCACTTTTATTGGGTGTAAATCATTGTGCTGATAATGTGTAGTTTTTTGCTGGAAAGAATTGACCCCTTTGTTAACATTTCTTTAAAATAAAGTCGTTACCTACAGGAAAACGTCCCCTCTTTTTCACTTCCTCTGTCTGTCTGCGGGTCGGTGTTGTTTGGGCAGGGTCCAGCTGTGAACATTTTTCTGCTCTATCTGTGCTGGAGTGCCTGTGCTGGGTTTTCCCCCTCATAAAATACGTGCACCATCAAAACGGGGCAATGGGATGTTATTCTTCTCTTGTTTAGGTTCAGTTCTGTTTGTTCTCCCTCATCTCCGGTTCTGCTGTGTTTTAGTGGCCGCAGACTGTGGCTTGTTTGTGCTGCAACGCACCTCAGAGTTTATTTAGTGAGCTACAGTGTTCTAGTGAGTATCTGAAGGTTTGGGGAAGAACTGCTTATATCTGGGGGTTAGTTTCAAAATATATTGACTCTGTGTTTGCACCCCTCCCTCTCCCCTCTCTGTTTTATTTTTTCCTTAAACCACTGGAGTGTTGCTTTAGTGCGTTTAGGCTTATTGTCCTGTTCCCTTTGTCCCAGTTTCAAATTCCCTAAAATCTCAAACAGGTTTCCCCTTAAAATATTATTTTCATTTTGATGCATCCATCTTTCCTTCAACTCCCATCAGTTTCCCAGTCCTGGCCGATGAGGAACATTCCCTTGACGTGATGCTACCATCACAATGCTTCACTTTGCTTCCCTTGTGGTTCATCCAAAAGGACCATCATTTTATTTGATTTGATTCTAGTTGTTTTTGTAAATTTGAATATGTAATAAAAAGAAATCAATCTTGAGGATCAGATAATATTGTGTAAATGACAAAATTAGAACCACAGAGATAATGAAAGCTATATCCTTAATGAAGTTATTGGATGACCATTTATAAGATATTGCTTTTAATGTTGTTTTCTTGTTCCATCTAAATGCTGTTTTCTATATTTATACAGTGCTGACATGGACCAATGATATGAGCATAAAATCACCATTGTCACCTTCAGCGCTGACCATGTGGAAAACCATTCCATGCATGGAATCCCATTAAGAAAGTGATTAGAAAAGTATTACTGACATGTGTGAATTTTGTTTTCACCTTTGAAGCAGAAGGCCCCATGTCTGTCTGTTGGATCGGGGTAGCCAGTTTGGTTTTTGTACTTGTAGAGCGTGCGGACCCCCAGCATGCCTCCTCCACACTGAGGCAGGGCAACAGTGATGGGGTACCGGACACTCCCATCAGACAGCCAGCCGTAGTCACAGCGATTAAGCCCCGCCCTCCAGGCTGCAAACAGATGGCCGGGCGACGCCAACACAGCATCCTGTTTCTCACACTCCTCCTTTGCCTGCTGCCAGGTGAGTTTATCCTTGACGGAGGAAGGATAGAAGACCTCACCTGCAGACAGAGGAGAAGGACACACCAAGTCAGGGAAATAACAGGAAAAAAATATTTTCTTGACAATGTTTTTTTATTATTTATTTTTATTTTTTTTTTATTTTATCGCCATGCACGTGTTTTTCCTCTGGTGTCCCCATACCGATACCGATACTGATACTAGGCCTAATTTAAGCAATTTTACAAGTAGTCATTCTTGTAGAAAATGCCTCGATATTTGGGATGAATAACAATATCAGTACTGGTATTGACACTCCATTCAATATGTCACAGTTTGCATTCAAATGAAAAGTTTGTCAGTTCCGTTTAAGAAATTTGTGCCTTAGGTTCAAAAAAGTTCAAACAAAAATGTCAGAATTATAGAAATGTATAATATTAGAAAACAAAGGAGAAAAAAGTAAATGGCTCAGTTCAGGGGCGGCAGCCCAGTTAGGGCGCACTTGTCGGCCACTCATGTCCCTGCACCGTGCTGTAGGCTGTCCTAATTCGTGGGCGCCTACTCATGCAGCTGACAAATGCAGCTGACAAAATTTCAACAAAAGTAAGTTGCATATGAGTATCCTACATGGCTGATGATATCCAGATTTCATTGCTCCGTTAGCAAAGAAAGACGGCAGAGATTTAGTTTTTCTTTGTTTTCTAAGGCAAAGTTTGGAAATCTACACAGGCCCAAGAATTTTTTTAATGTATGTTTAGCAACTTAGATGCTGAAATTTTTTGCTGTAATGAGATGTTAAATTAAATGCAGCTAGTTAGTTATAAAGTACAAGTACTGACACTGGAGCTAAACTCAAACTATATTTTTTTAAATAAAAATGTATTTATGTGTAACATTTTCCTAATACTACTGAATTTTGTGAAGTTATACCTCCTGTGAAAAGACGTGAATACATGTTCCAACTGAAGACATGCCTCAGTATTAAACATATCACTATAGTAATAAAATTAAGGGCATGATCATGCAAACATGTCATTCGAAGACTAGACCATCTTACTACACAGCAGTTTTTAAGCAGCCTACAGATGGCCTATGGCTCCTGTAGGGTGTGACCTACATGGGTCGTGGTCTACGTGGGCTGCAGCCCCTGGATTGGGACACAGCTATTGAATGACAGAGTGATCATTTTTTTATAAAATATAGAAAAGAATAAACTTTCAAAATTGCAGAAAAAATCTGGTTAAAAAGTTTTTTTATAGAAAAACTTCAGATTAACATTTAAAAATTCTTGCTTGAAAAATTTGCAAATATAATAATACAACATTGTCAGTACACTTTTTAAACAGAAAAAAATCGTTTGACTGGAACTGAGGCAAATATTCTAACACAAAACTACGAAATGTGCAATTAAAAGGTGCGAAAATGTAGAAATCACAAATAAATAATATTTTGAAATTACTGAAATGTACGATTAACGTTTCACAAAAAGAGAGAAAACAAATAATTTCATGTTTACCGTTCAGTTTATCCACGAAGCAGTACACGTCGTATTTCTCTGCAGGGTCACGGAGGCCATACGTTCGAACACCTGGTCGCTGTAGCAGATCACCTGAACAGCCGGGACGAGGAATAGTGATTGGATATCTGGAAAATAAATACATTTTAAAAATATAATAAAGTTTAAATATACCAGTAGCCTACGTTCCTCTTCAATATGCTTCATTAAGACATACAAGCTGAAACATCTAAATCTTGTCTGGCTTGTTTTTATTATAGTTAGTTTAACTTGATCTTTCAAAGCCTTGTTTCCAGTACAACTAATGTGACTAGAGAAGCAGAACGGTTCACACCTGACTGTCTGGTCAGCGAGCCAGCCTGCATCACATTGGTCAAAGCCGTCCTCGAAAGCAGCCGTCAGCTGTTCAGGTGTAGCCATGGTAGCATCCACAATACGGCACGCCTCTGAGGCCGCAGCAAAGTTCAGAGAGTATCGGCTGCTGTTGGCTCTGTAGTGGAACACCACACCTGAAAGAGATTGTCAGCTTTCAGAAGGATAAACATGGTCTTTAGCAATTTTTTGTTAACAGCATCAAACAATAAAACAAAGAGAAAAAAAGCAATAAAATATATAGGAGTAAATATTCATCCATCCAACATCTTAATTGGCTTCTTTCTTTCAGGGAAACAGGGGTCACTAGTGCTCATATGCAGCAGTCACTTTGCGTGGAGCGGGGTACGCCCTGGATGACTGCAAGTTTATCACAGGGACATAGAGACAAACAACCATTCACTTTCTCACTCACACCTAGGGACAATTTAAAGTCACCAATTAACCTAACAGTCATGTTTTTGGTCTGTGGGAGGAAGCCAGAGTACCCAGAGAAAACTCACACATGCACAGAGAGAACATGTAAACTCTACCCAGAAAAGTTCCCGGGTCGGGATTCGATCTGGCAACCTTCTTGCTGCGATAATTTTTGTGCAAAAAACAACAAACATCTGACCATCCATCCATTCATCCATGTGTTTGTGCAAAACATAATTTCCACCAAATTTGCAATTCAAAATTAGAATGGTGGGAGGGGAAAAATCAAAAATGCTAAAAATTGTCCAAAAAAAATAAAGTGTAGATGTTGTATAGTTCAAAAAATCAAGTTTTAGAAAACAGTAATTTATTGTAAAAAAGCAACAATGCATTAAAAATATAAGTTGACTTAATTGTAAGAAATCTTATGACAAAATGGCTGTTTCATGAAAAATGTCCTAATGAATATTAAGTTCTTCCTAAATGCATGCCCCCTACCCAAAATGTTTAACAACGTAGGAGTACAAAAAAGCTGTGTAAATAATGCAAAACATATAAAACTGTGTGAGTGAGAATTATAAACACTGTAAAACGCTGCAGAACTATCAGAGGGTACAAAATGTGCTATATGAATGTGGATCATTTCCCATAATTATTTACCAACATGAGAAAGAAAAAAAAAAGAAGACGAGAAAGAATTCACGTCAGAGACTATTTATCGTCCACAAAGATTTCTAATGACAGCAGATGGATTTCCAGCTGACAGAACCTGATCGCTGCAGAGATATATGACAGCGCAGACAGAAAGACGAACCAGTGAGCCATTTCATCTGTCAGCTCAGGACTATACATCACTGTAGTCCTGTGTCATTAGGTCGGAGGGATCAGTTCTCATGTGTGGGGAAATCCTGGCCGAGCGGCAGGAGGATGTGAAAAGATGTCTGAGCTGTTAAATGGAGAGTTGTGTGTCACTCATAGGGAGACTCTTTGTTTGGATGTGCCCCACAAAGAGATCTGTTCAGCATTAATGTGGAATCTGTGCTAATGTCTGGGACAGCAGCTCCACTCAGATGTTGGAGGAATTGTTTCCAGGAGATGAAATGCAAATGATGAAGCCTAGAAATGTTTGGTTTCCAAATAAAGCCTAGTGTGCAGCGTGTTCTCCGGCCACACTGAGTCTGAATTAAAACAAAACTATTACATGCTAATTAGTTAGATATTTATTTTAAAAATAACCAAACATCAAACAAAACTTCAGTATTCATAAATTAATTGAATTTAATCGTTACTAATGGAAATGGATTAAGTGATCAGTGGGATCACCTCTATAGAAACATGAGTTATGGCAGTTTGATGCACTGGAGCATGCAGGTGTGTGTTAACACAATGCCAAGAAGTAGCAATAACCCTAAAGCTGCTTATCTATCTGGGAAAGACTAAAAGGCCTATCCCCAACTATTTAGAGTCCATCCATTAAATTCTGCTTGTTTCGAGTTGGGTCGCGGGGGCAGCAGCTTGAGGCCCAGACCTCTCATTTCCCAGCCAAATCTTCCAGCTCATCCGGAAGGATTCCAATGTGTTCCCGGGCCAACTGAGAGACATAAACTCTCCAGCGTATTCTGGGTCTTCACCAGGATCTCCTCACAGTTGGACGTACCTGAAACACCTCTCAAGGGTGGCATCCTGCAGATGCTTGAATCACCTCGACTGGCTCCTCTAAGTGTGGAGGAGCAGCTCTACTCCAAGTCTCTCCCAAATAAATGAACTTCTCAGTTTCTGAGGGAGAGTCCAGCTGCCTTGTTGAGAAAACTACTTGTATCCGATCTCATTCTTTCAGTCACTACCAAAGTTTGTGACCATAGGAGGGGGTATGAACAAAGATTGACTGGTAAACAAAGAGTTTTGCTTACAGCTCAGCTCACTCTTCACCACAACAGAACAATACAGAGTCCACAAAACTGTGGAAGCCGCACTGATCCATCTACCAGTCTCTCGCTCCATTCTTCCCTCACTTGCGGACAAACCCCAAGACACTTAAACTCCTCCATTTGAGTCAGAACCTCACCCCCAACCTGAAGTGAGCAATCCACTCTTCTCCAACTGAGGACCATTTACAATTTAGAGTCTCTTATTTAATAAAGATAAAACATTTTTACAGGGAGACAACAATCAAGACAAGTTCCCATTAGTGAATTCACCCTGAGGTCAGACTGTATGATTCTACATGTCAGTCTAGCCCAGGGGTGGGCAATCCTGGTCCTGGAGGGCCCGAGCCCTGCATGTTTTACTTTTTTCCCTGCTTCAAAACACCTAATTTAGTCATTGAATTACCTCTTCCAAGTTCTGCAGAAGCCTGATAATCACCCATTCATTCAAATCTGGTGTGTTGGAGCAATGGAAAAAGTAAAACATGCTGAGCTGCAGTCCTCCAGGAACAGGACTGCCCATCCCTGGTCTAGCCAGAGTTCAGCATGTTAAATTTTAAAGTTCATGACTACAAATGGGGAGAAAAATAAGTGCTTGTTTGAAAGGGTTGCCAGGAGGAAGACTCTTCTCTCTAAAGAGATTACAGCACAGCTTAGGTTTGCAAAGTTGCATTCTCAGTGATGGAGTTGACTCTGAACTTTACTGGACTCCAAAATATTTTAAGACAAATGTAAGGCCATCTGTTTGATGGCTGAAACTTGCCTTAAATTGGACTATGAAACAGAATAGTAACTCCAAACACAACCTCAACTACTGCATAATTGCTGGGGGGAAAATATGTTTTAACACTCCTGCCCAGAAGGGGGCAGTAAATTATTATTTGTACATTAAATTACAAATAAAACCAGAAGAAAACATACATGTGCTGCATTTGTTGATGGGATGAATGGCAATTTGAAGGGATCTGGATCATGGGGAGCCGCTTGTTTCATAGAGCCGTTCAAAAGAGCTGTTCGATTTTGAATGTTACGTCATCACATAGGGAAATACGTCATCACGTATGGTGACGTGATGATGTCATCACGTTACATGGATGGAACCATGTGTTTTATCAAGCAGAAACCCCCCTCCCCCTTTCCCGTGAGCTTCTGTACTCCAAAACTCTGCCTGTTTTCTGCGAAAAAGCAAAGAGGGAGCAATTTAAGGACGAAAAATTAAAGATTATATGAGGAATAAAATAAATAAAACTACAAATGGCTCGTTACTGCCCGTGACTCGGCTCCTATCTTACGTTGTAAAGAGCCGTTCAAAAGATTCGAATCGTTCGTGAACGTCTCATCACTAGCTGCATTCAATTGAACTCAAAAGGCAAAGCGTGGATTTGTGAATGATATCACATTTAACTTTACCACGCTCAAATCAGAACTCAGATAGCATGAGGTAGCTATTTGAAAATGTAGAGGTTCAAGTTCTCCGCCAATCCAAGATATATTGAGTTTGGAGGTCATGGTTTTTCTTTTTGTTATTATTTTAGTCACTAACAAAAAGCTTTTTAAGCCACTCAAAAAAAATCTGCAATTTGATTTTAAGTATTGTATTACATTTGTGATACTTTCGCACAGTTCTACTTATCTTACTTGTCAGGGCTTTGTGCCCTTCACTTAACATAATTTAGTTGAATGTCACAACACATTAATGTTTAAAAGTGTCAAATACCAGTTTAATTGGTTTGTTGATACATTGGCCTACTTCTAGTTAGAAGACTTTCAATAAAAAGTCAGGAATCAATTAAAAACAATAAAGAAGACATTGTCCAGCAGTCTCCAACAGTGCTGACACTAAAAAAAATGAGTTAATGCTCACAGATGTGGCCAGCTGCTAATCATTGGTTGGCTTGTTGTGTATAAGAGGCTTCAGGACCCAAACACATTCAGCTGTTCGCTCAGGAAAAAAAAACTGCAATACTTCCTTTGTTCAGGCCAAACTAGCCACTAAACAGACGTTATCCAAATGTCTTTCATGACAACAGCATAATGTAACAAAAAAAAAACTGGACTACAGATGAGTACTTTGTTATGCTCAGCAGTGGTGTCTCCTTTCTTTGGTGTGGTCTTGCTTTGTTAAAAGATGACATTTGTAAAAATTGAATCAAACCTACAAAACTAATTCTCCTATGATCTGTCTCTGGCTGAACAAAAGACTGTTGTGTTGTGCTTGTTTGGCTTCAAAGTACCAGCTGAACTAAAGGACTGTAACCAAACTCAGAGCCCATCTCATTGAAGCAGGAGCCTGCATGCGGAGACGCTTTTCATTACACTTGTTGACACCTTTAGCTTTGAAGTTACTGCCAGCGGTGCACATCTGGATGCAGTCACTGAGTTTGTAGACTCCTGACACAGAGTGTTAATTTGCCTGTTAAAGTGCGAGCAGTGCTTAACTCACCGGAGACACTGAGGCTGACGGTGTCTTGGGTATCCTCGATCCCACGCGTCACCTCGCAGCGGTACAGGCCTGCGTCACTCGCCCTGACCCTCTCAATCATCAGAGAAGCGTCTCCGACTGAAAGCGGGTGGTTGGGCACAGACACCCTGTCCATGAAGCTCACCCCCATTTTCACCTTCCCATTGTGGGACACCAGCACCAACGTCTCCTGAGACTCCTCCGGTTTCTCCCAGCTCTCCACCTTCACCCACTTGATCCTGAACTGGTCTTCGGGACTCAGGCCGTCACCAGGGGCGGGCGTTGTGGTGTGCGTGTCCACGACGCCAGGAGAATCTGACATCATGGAGAAGTGACAGGGCAGGACCACCTTGCTGGCCAGAGATCCAGCTGCCTGCCTGACATTCCGCATCTTCACTGTCATGTGAGCAGCATCTGGAGAACGAGAGGATGTATGAGTGTGGGTCACAAGCTGGTAACACAAAACATCCTGCAGAAACGGATTCATTCATTTCATGTCACTCTGCAGTTTGACCATCTTGTTCATATTTATTGGATGAAACAAAAGCTGAACTTCAGGCATTACAAATAGATGCAGTGTCTGGATTTACTCTTTTTATAGAGTCACAGAGAGTTTACAAAAATGGAGCCATTGTTAGAACTGTAGCACGAAAGTCAAAAAGTGACATCTGTGGGCAGAGGTACTCCAAGATTTAAACCATATAGTTTGCCATTAGAGTAAATTGATTAAAACACGTTCACAACTGATTTTTAACCTTTATCAAAATCAAATCAAATAATCCTTAAAACAAACACTAAAACCTATAGATGTTTGAAGTTTTCTTTTTATTTGAAACTCAGTTGAAATTGCTAACCAAACTTGAACTTCGCATTTAATTGCTAAAATGTCTCAGCTCCATAAAATCAAACATGATATGTTGCTTTTGGACCCCAGTGTCTCAAAGGTCTGCAGCTATTGGAGGCAAATTTGCAAATAGCTTTTTTTTTGTGAGTGGCTCTAAAATAACCCTAAGGTTTCTCAATTATTTGTGTGTTCAAAAAATGTGTGTCACAAAACTGATTTCAAACTAGTCACAGAGTTGTATCAGGCATTTTATGACCGCCTCAAACCCTGAAATGTACAGATTTTAGCCCCATGTGTAAATCTCTTCGCACTCTTCCAAACTGTTTTGGAAAAATGACGAAAAATACAAGACTTGTTCCTATAACTTAGTGCAGTGCTTTCCAGTGGGGTGCACCAGTAAGCTCTTAAAATAAATATATTGTATTTATTATTTACCTTTTTTAAGAACTCATTGGCCTTAAAGAAGGAGCACCACATAAGTCAGGATATCTCACTTATCTTGATGCTATCACAAAATCGTTAATATAAAAATAATCTTTAAATACATTTTACGTTTTAAATGAATGAATCATTGCAGCAAAATAAATAAATTTAAAAGGTGAAACATAATCAATCTTGTTCGTTTTCATAACGCAGTGTTTCCCCTACCATAATCAGGTGATTAGGTGGTGCCAGAAGATCATACAATGGTTTGTACAGATAAACTTTTAAATATTCTCAGATTATCAGTAGTATTTCTATGGAAGCAAAGAGCGGACATTTTCCGTTTATATATATATACATATATATATATACATATACATATACATATACATATATATATATACATATATATATACTCACCGGCCACTTTATTAGGTACACCACGCTAGTAACGGGTTGGACCCCCTTTTGCCTTCAGAACTGCCTCAATTCTTCGTGGCATAGATTCAACAAGGTGCTGGAAGCATTCCTCAGAGATTTTGGTCCATATTGACATGATGGCATCACACAGTTGCCGTAGATTTGTCGGCTGCACATCCATGATGCGAATCTCCCGTTCCACCACATCCCAAAGATGCTCTATTGGATTGAGATCTGGTGACTGTGGAGGCCATTTGAGTACAGTGAACTCATTGTCATGTTCAAGAAACCAGTCTGAGATGATTCCAGCTTTATGACATGGCGCATTATCCTGCTGAAAGTAGCCATCAGATGTTGGGTACATTGTGGTCATAAAGGGATGGACATGGTCAGCAACAATACTCAGGTAGGCTGTGGCGTTGCAACGATGCTCAATTGGTACCAAGGGGCCCAAAGAGTGCCAAGAAAAGATTCCCCACACCATGACACCACCACCACCAGCCTGAACCGTTGATACAAGGCAGGATGGATCCATGCTTTCATGTTGTTGACGCCAAATTCTGACCCTACCATCCGAATGTCGCAGCAGAAGTCGAGACTCATCAGACCAGGCAACATTTTTCCAATCTTCTCTTGTCCAATTTCGATGAGCTTGTGCAAATTGTAGCCTCAGTTTCCTGTTCTTAGCTGAAAGGAGTGGCACCTGGTGTGGTCTTCTGCTGCTGAAACCCATCTGCCAAAAAGTTCGACGTACTGTGCGTTCAGAGATGCTCTTCTGCCTACCTCGGTTGTAACGGGTGGTTATTTGAGTCACTGTTGCCTTTCTATCAGCTCGAACCAGTCTGCCCATTCTCCTCTGACCTCTGGCATCAACAAGGCATTTCCGCCCACAGGACTGCCGCTCACTGGATGTTTGTTTTTTTCTTTTTCGGACCATTCTCTGTAAACCCTAGAGATGGTTGTGCGTGAAAATCCCAGTAGATCAGCAGTTTCTGAAATACTCAGACCAGCCCTTCTGGCACCAACAACCATGCCATGTTCAAAGGCACTCAAATCACCTTTCTTCCCCATACTGATGCTCGGTTTGAACTGCAGGAGATTGTCTTGACCATGTCTACATGCCTAAATGCACTGAGTTGCCGCCATGTGATTGGCTGATTAGAAATTAAGTATTAACTAGCAGTTGGACAGGTGTACCTAATAAAGTGGCCGGTAAGTGTATATATTTCTGTTTTTTTTTTCTCTCAGTATCACAAAACAACAATGAGCCTTTTCTCTGCTTCTTTCTTTAATATGTTATTGTCATCAGAGTCAGACACATCAAGCAATAACACAACTTGTCATGGAGCAAAAAAAAGTCTCTTGGAGCCACGGTCCAAACATGACAGGAAGTCGGCCAACTTGGATCAAAGCTGCCATTTTCTCTCTTTTTGTCTGCAGGTATCTGAGTGAACTCCTCCTACAGCTTTTAACTTTCAGACTTCAGAACCACTCAGCACAGTGTTAAGGCACTGGCAATCAAACAATATCATTATCACAAAATAATGATGAGTGTATTCTTGAGATAACAAGTTGATTGTGTTGCTATCACAAAATAAGAATGAGTGTTTTCTTGAGATAACGAGTTGGTTGTGTTGCTATCACAAAATAAGAAGGAGTGTTTTCTTGAGATAATGACTTAATTTCCTGATGGTTTTTTGAGATAATGAGTTATGGCTTTTCCAGTGCCAGCTGAGGGGACCAGGCTGTCCTCATTGTTACAGGAAGGTGCACAAGAAGAAAACCATAACTTGTTATCTTGATAAAACACTCATTGTTATTTTGTAATAACGACATAATTAACTCGTCATCTCTCGTTATTTCATGAAAATGACATATGTCCATTTTCTCATGATAACGGTATTGTTGTTGTTGTTGTTGTTGTTGTTGTTGTTTTTGTTGTTATTTCTCAGAATTTCTTCATTATTGCTGGTTCATTCACCAGGGACTAACCAGGTTCCTCAGGTTTAATCACTGTCTGGTGTTCAGCCAAGTACTCGTCAAAGTATGCGAGCGACTCCTAGCTGCAAAGTCTTTTGCATTTCTTTAGCATAGACTCTACAAGGGAGATTGTCAAGTTGCTCTTGAAATCATCTCTTCATTGTTCCTAAAGTTCCAATTACAACTGGTATCCACATGCATTGGATTTCTTTCTAGATCCTTGTACTTTGATATTTTCTCTGCTTCTTTCTTTAAAGGCACAGTGTGTAGGATTTGTTGTTTTCAGCAACATCTAGTGGTTGAGTGGTAAAATCATCCTCTCTGGTCCTCCTCCCACCCCCACTTCTAAACGCAAAGGAGTTTCTACGGTGTCTCTCAGGTGTCAAAAACCTTTGATAATTCCAACCGCGATGTCTACCAGCAGCTTCAGGGCTAGTGATGTTTCAAGTGGTAAGCTTATGAGCTTTAGTAAGTAAAATTATCCCAGCTACAATGACATACAACAAATATTACATTTATAGTATTACAACTAAAACCGTTTTTGACGCCGTCACCGCAGTTTGTCCTTCATGAGCCTTCGTAGGCAAGATGGCGGTGCCTGTAGTGGTGACCCGCGACCATGGAGATATAAACAGCTTTTTATAAGGTAAAAATAACAAAACAAGGTCTTTGTCTGCAATGATTAGACATGTTTTTTTTTATTGTCATTAGTGATTATCTTAATTTCAGCTAAAAGAATTGATAAAATCCTACACATTGTGCCTTTAAGATGTTATTGTCATCGTGGATAGACACATCAAGCAAGGAACACATTTTGTTGTTCTTGATGGTCATATCCCACATGAATATATTTATTATTATTATTATTATTATTATTATTATTATTATTATTATTATTATTATTATTAACGACACAAGAAAACCATGACAAAAAATTATATGCAGAAAACATCTGCTCTCGGCTTCTGCATATTTCAGTTCAAGAGTTGTGCAAAAGAAAATTCAGTTCCATAGGGCTGGCATGACAGAAAACAAATGAGAACCACTGACAGTGCAAGATGGAGGTGCAAAATGCCAAAAATGAGGGAGGCTTGTGACATTTTTGGATATGACATATTTTTTTCATGACGTTAATGTCAGTATTACTTTGCTCAAATGAATGTAAATGTGTTGCAGCTAAACTGACAGCCGCACTTATTGAATGTGTTCAGTTTTGACACCATAAATGGAGGAAACAGACATTAGGTGAAACTCCTGCATGAAACAGCAATCTGTCTTCTTCCCGGATGACACATATCGGTAAAATTTGAGATGTGATTTGATCTATCCTTAGTCCTACTTTTGCACTCTTTGCTCCATGTGCACGTGTGTGCTGAGCAGGAAAAAAAGGACTAAGTCATTAAATTGATGCTAACTTTCCACTTAGTCAGTCTGGCACCTGCAGATCTGTCACATGTGTTAATACATTCAGGAGAGAGGGTGACTGAGTTTAGACTGAGGCTGGCATTTCTCACTGGATGTGACTCACCTGGCTGATGGCCTGCCGAACAGAAACACACAAGCCAGAGCAGGTGTATGAAGATGTGTCCAGTCATCTTCACACAATCTGTGAGAAAAGTAAAAGAAAAAAAGAGTCATTTGGTCATTTGTCTCTTTCTGTGATCTTACTGTCTAACCCAAACTTCATGATGACTAAACCAAACCTAACTTAAGTTATAGCTGCTGCTGAGTCAGTGAACTCAGTTCAATTCAGTTCAGATTATTTATATAGCGCCAAGTCACAGCATGCATTGTCTCAGGTCACTGTACATGAAAAAAAGAACAAACTGAAGAAGAAGCCAGCAGATTGTGTTGAATCACTTCATCACAGTCTCCCAGAACTGTCAAGATGGATGAAGCGACTTAATTAACTTCCATTTTCTAATTATCTTACTTGCATTTATATTTTTATTTCATTTTCATTTATTAGTTTATTTGACAGGGACAGTGCGCACAAACATAGAACAGGTCAAGTCTGTAACTGATGCGTTTCACAAAGTATGTAGCTACAGCTAATTTGCAACTCTAGTCCCTGGTTGGCAGGAAAATGTCTTTGTCATTTAAATGGAGGGGCGGGACCTCGAATTTTTACCGTGGCCAGCCAGTAGGGGGCACTCTTCTTTTGTGGTTTCAACTTCTGGCTTCTAGTTCTGTGTCTATTTTAATATACTGTATGTTGATAGATCAGTGATGTTCCATCAATGCTTAATTTGGTTGACTTTCTACAAAAACTCAACAAGGTAAATGTAACTCACTAATTTTCAGATTTTGTCTTTGAGGGAAAAATATACTTACTTACTTATACCTTTGGACTGTTTAGCTCTTTGCAAAGTAACATTTTTATGACCTACTGTACCTATAAACACTATAGGTCGACAGAAACTAACAAAATACATCCATCATCATCCATCTATTCATTATCTTTACCCACTTCTTCCTTTCAGGGTCACGGGGGGTCGCTGTGTGAGGGGCGGGGTACACCTTGGACAGGTCACACATCCATCACAGGGACACACAGAGACAAACAACCATTCACTCTCTCACTCACACCTAGGTATGTTTTAGAGTCATCAATAAGCCTAATATTCATGCTTTTGGTCTGTTGGAGGAAACCGGAGTGCCCAGAGGAACATCCAATATCATGAGTCATAAATGTAGCTGGTGGGAGTGATGTGTTCTACTCCTCTCTTGTTCACACACACATGCATGTTCAGCCTTTTGGCTTCCTCTGTTGTCAGCTCCGAGAAGCAACAAAGCGTCCTGTCCCGATCTTCAGCTCTCAATTCATGTCACAGCAGACTCTTATAGGTAGCTCAAGCTAATTGACAAAAAATGTCATTCCAAGTTGTACAATTTGATTTCCTCACAGGAGAGAGAAAAAAGTTCAGGCCTCTCAAGAACTATTTGTAGAAACTGTTCATGAAAAGTAAAGTTGAGCTTGCCAGTATTAACAAAACTGTGCTGTGCCAAGAAAATTGTTGTTAAAAAGGGTAAAGTATGACTTTTATAAACAGCAGCCGACAAATGTTTACCCATGTGAATTGAAAGAGAGGAAGACATCAAAAACATAAATGCATAGAACCTGATTTGGATCAAATGAATGTGTTACAACCTCTCTCTCTCTCTCTCTCTCTCTCTCTCTCTCTCTCTCTCTCTGTCTCTCTCTCTCTTACTTTTACAAAGACATTTGATGGAAACCTGGAAGTTGAAGCTGGAAGGCTGTCATTGGTTGAAGTATTAGTTTTATGTCTCATTCCTTCTATGAACACCAGGAACATTAATTCTTAGTAAAAGAAAAAAAACACTTCACATATATATTTTTTCTTGTATATTAAAGCATATTAAAGCTAGGAACAAGGAGATCCAAAAAGTTTGTCAAACAATATTTTGTCCCCAACTCTTACCATGGTTTTATGTGCTGGGGAATTTATTGTACCTGAACTGTATCAAAGTTGTTTATTTTTTATTTTTATTGCAGCATTAAACAGTAGAATCTCTTGGGTAATATGCTTTTTTAATATATATTTTACATCAAACAAAAGTTGCCTTTGGTCAATCAAATAACTTCCATTTTTAAGATACTGACCACATCCACTCTGTAAACTTTGCATTTTCTGTCAGTACAAAGTAACAGAGGTAAAATTCCCTCCTCTCTTAAGTTATTGTTTCAACTATCAATATTTAACTATACTTTTTTAAAGCTTAAGTTATATTTTTGACTCCACTTTGAGCAGATAAACGAACAAATTATGTTTCTATTTAAAGTGTTTCTAGATTTCTTTTCTATTTTCTCTTCATGTGTTTTTCCTACAGAGATGGGTCGTTTGCTGCTTTTGATATTCATCTTATTCTGATGCCAATAAATCACAAAGTAATTAAGACAAAAGGGAGACCAAGAAACCTCAGAGAACAGATGTTGGAGAACAGTTGTCCTAGGACCAGCTCTGAGCCAGCTGCAGGGGTAATAAAGCTCTCCCAGTGATCATGGGGTGAAGTGGTCAGTGGGTCAAACTGACATAGTTGGTCCCAAGCATCAGTGAGATCAATGGGTTTTTATCTTCAGGTTTTAGTTTTTTTACAGAGGGGACATTCACAAGCATCTAAAAATCTTCCTCCCCAAAAGGATGTTAGTAAATTATCACATACATGCATATGATCTTAAGGGAATTTAAAAAAGACAATTCTCAGGTTTGACATACACACATACCTTACAAATGTTGAAGGCCTGAAGACTCACTTGCTGGGGCTGAAGCTCCCAACTTTTCAAAGTTAAACTTCTAAAGGTTCTAAATGGAAAGCCAAAGTGCAGCCCCTCTCAAGCAGATGTCCTCCTTCACCTCTCAGCACTGGCTGCAAGTTCAAATTCACTTTGCACCCGCTAATATCCAGACATTAGGAAGAGGAGGGGCACAAGTGACCAATGACACAACGCCCAGCTCAGACACGGAGGGTGGGCTGAACGGTGGGTGGAAGAGGGGGAGGATGTCAGACTTCTGACAAAAAGAGGAGTACAATGAAGGAGAAAGCGGGATGTAAAGGGGTGGGGGTTGAGGATGGGGAAGAAGTGAAATGTGGGGAAACCAGGAAAGCCAGGATGGGGGAGAGAGGAGGAAGGGTGACTCACGGGAGTGTGATGAAAGTTGAACTCAAGGAGAAGTTACAAACAGCAATTTTAAAAAAAAGGGGGAAGGAAGGGAAAAAATTCTTAATAAATGAATAACAGTGGGGTCTTACTTTTGGTTGTAATTTCATTTTACCACAAACCCAAGTAATACATCTTCTTCTACTTCAGTGTGTGCTTCATTTGCCAAATTTGACAATTTTCACACACCTCTCTAACATTGCGGAGTAAACATGGCCTCAACAGTGTGATCCCACGATAGTTGTGGTGTAGTGGTAGAGCAGCCAGCTTGGGACCCGAAAGCCACAGGTTTGACTCCCCACCATGCCCATGCCATGGTGTCCTTGAGAAAGACTCCCATCCCCCAACTGCTCCCTGGGCAGCTACATAGGGTGTTTCTCCCGTTTGATGGGTCGAATGCTGAGCACAAATTTCATCATTGTATGGTAACATGCACTGATGATTAATAAAGTACCTTTACCTTCAGTTGGAACTCATGCCCGTCCATCTCTTTGTATAAAAAAAATAAACAAAATAGGGACCAACACCTTAAAGAAAACATACCTTGCTTTTAAAACCTACTTTTTCACATTTAAATGAGTTTTTTAATGTAAAATCGACTTTTTAAAACTTCATATCATGTTATAATGTAATTTCCCTCATCAAAAACATACTCCGTGTTGCTTTACTCATTTATGTTTGAGAAGTCTTTGAATCTCCTTTAGTAGCCATGTGCCATGCTGCCCAAACACTTACTGGTACAAAGCACCGCCTGTTGTACTTAGCTCCTGCCTGAAGCTCAGACCCCAGCAAAGCTCCCGCCCAACGGAGCACCCCTTCCCCAAAGCACTGTTTGAAAACATGCTGAAGTGGGAATGTCCAAAACTATAGGAGGTTCTTAAAGAGAGGTCAATTTCAAGGTGTTTAGATAGGCTATGAAGCAAAGTCAAATTTACCTTAGGAAACATCTTCATAACAACTGAAGGTAACATAGTTACTTGATTGGGGTATAGAGTTGAATGATGAGCCTGGAAAATACATAATACTGCCCCATTAACTATATAAAGTGGAACTCTAATACTTTTGCCTGAATTCCTCCCTATTGTAACTCCTCAAGCCCCTCTTTCACCCCTTTTCTCAGGTGTGTCTCAGAGCAACTCATTTTCACGCTGCCTCTTTAAATCCAAACAAGGCATTTCACACCGGCCCCCTCCAGCTTTCAGAGTGGTCCATTCCAGTGTGATAGAGGGGTTTACATATCCATCGGCATGGATTTCTGTGGTAGAACTTCAACCGGGCCAATCGGTGAACAGGAAGAGGAGTTTGGAATGATGTCTGTAGTTTAGCAATGGCAGTGGGGGAAATGAATGAATCCATTCAGTCCGTGTTCACAAGGCTTCCAAATTCAATTAAATTTGCCTCACAAAGCCTGCAGCACACATTTACAGCCGTCTCGTTTGGCTCGGTGCGTACCCTCCTCCCAGTAGGGGATGTTTACAGCACACGCAATTTCCGGTAAGCTTCTTAGCTTAGCCTCCTTCACGGTTGAGCTGTCACACTACCTCACAGCCAAATGTTAGAGATTGCGTAAATCATATCTAATCATTTTAAACTTCAACAGAGCCCGCATCTCCAGCAAGAAATCATTTCTTAATAGCCAAAAGTCCAGACCCTCTGTACAAAGCAAAGCGCAGAACAAGGGTCTGGTTTTTACCAGGCTAAGACTCCAAGTATACAACAAAATGCATTTAATGGCTAAAAAGGTAGATCAGTCCTTGGACTTTGTCTTATCAATGGTGAACAAAGTGACCAGATTAGAAAAAAACCTCAAGAAGCTCCTTCCATCATTCAAAAACATCCTCAGACAAGTCCCGCAATTCCCTGCCTAAAGTACACTTTTGGGCATTACAAAGAAGGCTTTGGCTGATTGTTGAACCTCTGATTCAAGAAAAGCATCCTGGCTTTCAGCCAGGTTTCTGGGAGAGTAGACCAGATCTGTGGCCTTCCATAGTTGCTGAGTGAGCTTGATTATGCAGTTCACATGTGTTCATGAAGGTGGATTAAAATTGTGTGCCCACCCTCAGGCATTTTGTTGGGGGTTGCTGCAGAATTATAAGGCAGTGGGACCACTGGGTACAGCAACTTTAATTCTTTATTCAAACGTTTACACTTTTACTAATGTTTTAAAACATGGTTTAGAGTTGAGGATAAATGGAATGTAGCAACTTAACTTGCACTTTTCTGTTCATGGAAATACAAAAAGCACAATATTTGTTCAAACAATTAAATAAAATCACAATCTTACAAAGTGTTCATTAAAAAGACAGAGTTAAAACATCTTGGACATTTTGCAATTTCAGATTTTAAATGCTGTTTTTTTTAAAGAAGTTCCAACCAAAATGTTATCCCATACCTGCAGTTCATTATTTCCTTTCATCAGTATTTGTTTTAACACATGCGAGCACAAAAACACACACAAACCTACACACAATTGTATTCATTGTCACTTTTGTAAACATTTAGATTTTTCTTACTTAAAACTTTAGTGCCATGAAAACTAAAACTATATATCATTCAGTCCCTGAGCCATTGCTGATATTTCCACAGAAATAACTTTAGTGCAGTCAACTTGCCATCTGTAAATTTGACTCCTTAAATGTAAAATTGTTGCAGTTTTATAGACACGACTTTCTTGAAGTCAGAAATCATCAAACAGGTCTTCGGCTGCTGAAGCTGCTGATGCAGGCTCTGCAGCACTCTGGGGAGTCTGGAGCTGACTGGATCCTGCTGAGCAGTCTGCCCTGTACAACATACAACGCACACACGCACACGCACACACACGCACACACACACACACACACACACACACACACACAC